TTGCAGTGATCCTTGAGGGCTTCCGTGACCATGTGTATATATAGAGCGTCTGCCCGGAGAATGTCAGATTTGGTCCCTGGCGGAAGCTCAACCGCTTGGCTGGGAGTAGATAAACTGTCTGACTGGGACAAAGCAATAGATCCGGTACGAATAAGGACTAGTAGTACACATAGACACAGAAGGACACAAACAACACACACACGTACGGACGCGTACATGCACTTAGGTGTACAGGTTGAATTTTTCTGGCGAGCACGCTGTTATTTACATTAGAAAATCTAACCTGATCAACACCGTCAAGGCAACAAGGTAGTTCTTGCCAAAACAGGCAAGGTCACGTGTCCAGTTTCTATTTTGAATAGATATTTTGAAGCAGCTTCCATTGATACTTCAAATCACTCCCATCTTTTCGGACCTATTTTCAGGTCACGACACGTTTGCCGTCTTATTTACAAAGACAAACCTCTTAGCTATACTACTGACTGACTGACTGAGTTTGGTTTTACGCCGCTTTTAGCAATATTCCAGCAACATCACGGCGGGGGACACCAGAAATGCTTAACACATACCCTAAACTCGGCGTGACGAGCCAACGCTTTAACCATTAGGTTACCCCACCGCCCCCTTAACTATACTAGAACTAGGGAAACTGCTGTATCTAACCTTAAAACCGTTTCTCAAGAAGGTAACTGGGGATTGCATTCATTTAGATCAGGAGGCTGCTAACTTCGGGGGTGCCCGATAGACTGTTCAAGAAACATGGGCGTTGGAAAACAGATACTGCAAAGAACAGGTACATTGAGGATTCTCTTAAGGCCAGATTGTCAGTTTCCCAAAACTTAGGAATTTAAACTTCCTACCCCTTCTCTTTGTAGTCTATAAATTGCTCAAATCCTATTACTGTCTTGGTGTTCTTAATTATTAGGTGTAGTTTAGACATATGTTTTTGCAACACTTTTACGTTCTACGTCATAAGATATGTCAAGGAACCGCCTGTTTTAGGCCAGCAAAATGATACTCTTTGAAATAGTACAGGATGAAGTTACAAACAAGACTTGCCCACATTCGGAGATGACAGAGTTTGACAGGACCCAACCAAACGGGATGTTTACATTGTTGATATCCGCCTCAGTTTTGACGGATAAGAGAATTATTTGTTGTTATTTGTTTTTGTCAGTAATTCAGCTATGTGCCGGCGTTCTATACACAATCCGATCTCGCCGGACAATCCAGTGATCGATATTGTGAGCATCGGCCCACGCCGACAGCATACGATGACATGCACAACTCCATCCAACTCCATCCATGAAGGACAGAACAGGGAACATTTTACCTGTTCTGACATAACAATGCCCCAAAATGTGAACCCGTGTAGATCTGGTTTAGAATTGATCTTCAGCAACCCAGGCTTGTCGTAACGGGATTGAGTGTGTGAATATTGCTTTTAGCAATGTGCCAGCAATATCATGGCGGGGGTCACAAATAGGCTTTACACATTGTACCCATGTGTGGAGGGGAATCGAACCCGGGTCTTCGGCGTGATGAGCGAACGCTTTAACCAAAACGCACCCTTACCTACATGCATATCCAAACTGTATATACAACTTAGGACTGATAATGTTTGTTTGTTTTTGTTGTTCAATGCCGTTATATGGTCTTCGTCAACCCATGCTTGTCGTAAGATCGGGTGGTCAGGTTCGCTGACTTGATTGAAACAGGTCATCGTATCGTATTCCAATTGCGTAGATCGATGCTCATGTTGTTGATAATTGGATTGTCTAGTCAAGACTCGATTATTTACAGACCGCCGCCACATGGCTGGTAAATTGCTGAGTCCAGCTCTACACAAGAAACAGACAAACCAAATCGGTCGTGTTGTCTTTCTCAGTAGAAATAGGAAAGATGTTGCCTTTCTCAATAGAAATAGGAAATATGTTTTCTTTCTTAATAGCAATAGGGAAGATGTTTTCTTCCTCAATAGAGACAGGAAAGATGTTTTCTTTCTTAATAGAAAAGGGAAAGAAGTTGTTGTCTTTCTTAATAGAAATAGGAAAGATGTTTCCTTTTAAAGAAATAGGAAAGACATTTTCTTTCTTAATAGAAATAGGAAAGAAGTTTTCTTTCTTAGTAGAAATAGGAAATATAAGCCCCTTTCAGTTATCCTTTCAAATATCCGTTATGTCCATTGTACGAGTTCAACTACCCCATAACCTCGCCAGGACCATGTGTTGTAATGAGGAACGAATAGGACTGCCCTTTTGTTATTGAAACATTAAGTGATTTACTGAGAGATTTCGCATGTAAATACTCTTCTATGCCGTGTTTAAACACCTCTCGCTACCTCAGTAGCTTGTAAGGTTAATATATTTCTGTGATAGCACGGATAATGGTACGATGACACAGTGATGCGGGTCAGACATTGTATTCACCTGATTCCCCAAATAGGTCGTTTTGCAAATAACGATGTCCAATTTCCTCTCTGAATAGATGGCGCTGGTGTCCAGTCATCTTTGGTGTCGGAGTTCCGCTATGTGTAGTTATGTTCCTTATGCGTACATGATCCGATGATGCTAGTCCCGCCCTGATTAGGAATCTTGGTTTGAAGCAGCGTAAACGAGAAGCTTGTGGGTTCCCCATTTCCATGACAGACGAATGTACCCAAGGGGGATGGGGACACGGGGGTTAGTCTTCGCTCTGCAGAGTTCACTCCCTTCAGACAAAAAACCTATGATAATAGGTTTGAATCCCAGGTTCATCCAATTAATGCTATATTAATATTCGTCCCAGAGACGTATATATGAAAGTTCTCAGAATTTTCATCAGAATAATGTTTAAAAATCTTGAGAGTAACTCTCGCAAACTTCTGAATATTTTACACATTTATAATTAATTCTAAGAACTTTTATAAACATACCCCAGGTATGTTTCATCGAAATGGTAATTTAAGACCAAACACTTTCATCACTTCGGCGATTCCCCCAACGCATAGCGTAAAAAGGAGAACTAAACAACCCTTAAAACGTGTTTTTCTCCGCTGCTTTGAACAATATTTACATCAGGCCATAGTTCGGAACAAAGGTCCGAAGCGTGATTTCACCCACACATTCTTAAAAATAAACGCATGTTACGTTGTTGTTTTTATACATGGATAATTGAAGTTATTTATGGAAACATATTCATTGTGCCTCCGTACAACCGGAAGTAGGACGTATTTCCTTATCACACAACATGTTTGTTTTCATGATTTGGGATACGGAACAGTAAGGAATGTGAATCAGATATTCCCTCTGACACACGCAAAGTGATTAAGCGCTGTTAACAGATCGCTAAGTGCATGAACGCTTTGGAGAATCGCATTAGGAAATGACTGTGAAACTAGTTTCGAATGGTCATTGTTATGTCATCATTATATATCAAAGCTCTTACAATTATTCCTGTCGACGCCCTATCCAGTCAGATTGAATTCCCCTCAGTAACAGCTACGAGCCTTTCAAACTGACCCGTGAAGATCCGGGTTAAAATTGATCTTCAGCAACTAATGCTTGTAAGAGGCGACTAACGGGATCCCAATCGCGTAGAACGATGCTATTGCCAATACAAACTGACCCGTGAAGTTCCGGATTACACTTGGTCTCCAGCAACCCATGCTTGTAAGAGGCGACTAACGGGATCCCAATCGCGTAGATCGATGCTCATGCTGTTGATCACTGGACTGTCTGGTCCAGACTCAATTATATTCAGACCGCCGCTAAACAGCTGGACATTTGCTGAGTGCGGTGTTAAACAACAAGCAAACAAACCAATATATATGAATGCAGCTAGATATTTCACATATGCGCATGCGTTACGGTAAATTTTGCTTTCAGATGATGCCGATTTAACTCATTAGATGTCCGTAAGTGAGTGAAGGTGAGAGTGAGTGAGTGAGTGAGGTCTTTTCACGGCTTTAAACAATATCTCTTATCTTGCCTCACACATAAATGTCGTTTTCTCTATTATTTTCAATATACCCCGCTTACAAGCGAGTAACATTTTCTATGTACCCCGCTGGGAATGCCGAACTCATTCGGTACTTCGTAGTAGTAATTCTTTATCTCGATTAACATTGAATCACGTATAATGTACTGAAATTACCGATGTTTTGCGAATGCAAATCGATGGAAAGGAGATAACAATAAATTTGTTTTTCTTGTCTGGTACTCTATACTATGATCCGATACCCGTCCTTCAAACAGTTCAAAATTACCATTGAGGTGTTCGGTAGGATAAATACGTTGTTCACTGGTCCCTCGGGTTGATCGAACGATATCCAAAGTTAGAAAACCTAAAGTAACGCGTGACTTTAAAACGTCACAGTAGACTTTCTGTAAATGTCACTAGTGTTTTCAAAACCCGTTTGTATATGTTGTATCCCATGTTATGTCGGTGATTTGTATGATCGAGTATCATCATAGCTTGTTGTTCATTATATCAATCACTGGATAGTCGAGTCATGATTTTAAGTGAGTGAGTTTACTTTTACGCCGCACTCAGCAATATTCCAGCTATTTTGCGGCGGTCTATAAATAATGGAATCTGGACCAGACAATCCAGTGATCGACAGCATAAGCATCGGTCTACGCAATTGGGATACGATGAAATTTGCCACCCAAGTCAGCGAGTCTGACCACCTGACCCCTATCGCCTCATACGACAAGCATGGGCTGCTGAAGATAAATTCTAACCCGGATTTTTCACGGGTCTCAAGATTTTAAACAAACAGTTGGAAGAGATGGGGTAAAGAGAGAAATCAAAGAAAGAAAGAAACAAACAAATAAACGACCATGCTTTGAAGTTCTCTTTAACGATATTCTCAGTAAGACATTTCTTGAATACAATGCCTTCTCGGCACAAACTGCGCATGTCACTTAATAATAAGGAAGAGAGTAGATTTCTTGCCAACTGCCATCTCTCTGTTGAAGCACGAACATCCGGTTGACCGTATATGACTTCCGGTTACACTAGTCACCGAGCAAACGCTGGCAGTTTACTCTGAAGCGTGAAGCTTTCACAATGGATTGTTCAACCCTTCTTCTGCTCTTGGTAATTTTTGGTTTTACGTTTATCAACTCTGCTCCAACGTTTGACAGTCGTCGCCTAGATGTTGATGTAAGCGTTTTTATCTTCTGTTTGTCATGGTAACCAGGATGCATGTCATGGGATTTTTTCTTTATGGTCGGTGTATTGTATGTGTGCATGCATTATGCATGATTGTGTGGAACAGTTATATTGTACAATTATATTGGTAACTGGTTCAGCAGTCTCGTGTAATCGTAGATTGTGAGTGAGTGAAGGTGAGAGTGAGTGAGTGAGGTCTTTTCACGGCTTTAAACAATAACTCTTATCTTGCCTCACACATAAATGTCGTTTTCTCTATTATTTTCAATATACCCCGCTTACAAGCGAGTAACATTTTCTATGTACCCCTCATTGGAATGCCGAACTCATTCGGTAACTTCGTAGTAGTAATTCTTTATCTCGATTAGCATTGAATCACGTATAATGTATTGAAATTACCGATGTTTTGCGAATGCAAATCGATGGAAAGGAGATAACAATAAATTTGTTTTTCTTGTCTGGTTTTCTATACTATGATCCGATACCTCGTCCTTCAAACAGTTCAAAATTACCATTGAGGTGTTCGGTAGGATAAATACGTTGTTCACTGGTCCCTCGGGTTGATGTACCCTCGATCAGCACATGTCCCCGTCGAGACCATAATGCTTATATATATAGCAAGTCTCGTCAGCTTGATGTCGGAAAAAGTCCGAAATAAGCAGGTCTTGGATATTTTCCACTTTTACGAAAACCTACGAGCAGAGGTATGGTGCTGTAAAACGAAGAGACATTAACGGGATTCGAACCCATGATCTTCTAAGGGACAACAACTCTGAACACTAACAGGGTCGACTCCAGACGACTGGCCCATCCATGCACTAATCACATCTTTAACTGTTGAGAACACAAAAACATTTTATTTTAGCATTGAAGCAGCAATTCTGCACTAAACACTAAACGCAAAAAGAAACGTTCCCTCCTACCTTTATGAATTACTAAAAACTATCAAAGATATGTTAGAGGTATTAGGTCACAAGAAAGCTGACAACACAGCTTTATGCAAATCACGAATTCATTTTCTCAAATACATTCCTATTTAGGTGAAATGCATATTTTTATGAAGAGTTAAATTGTAATATTTTCGTCCATGCCGAAATAAACCAAAACCAGTGATTTAGATGTCCAAAATAAAGGTTGAAATAATATTCTGCTTTGGGACAAAGATAAACCTATTAAAACAAGAAACAACTGTTGTAGAGTGTGTAAAATTGTAAAATCATCATTCCTATGATTTCAGTCTTTTAAAACATTTTCTGCTGATTTGCAGGAGTGAAAAGAAGTAAAACGTGTCTTTGATATTGTGAAAAAATGTTCAGGAATATCTAACATTATCTTAGTTAACATTTTTGTTTGCATACCATTTCCATTTTTGTTTTACACATAGCAATATCAGTCAGCCAAAACGCAGCAATATTCAAGCAGTATTTGTATCCATTTCACATGTAGAATGATTCTATAGGTTATGAAGAGAGCCTAGAATGCATGATATGATACACAAGTGCGAGAAATATGCCACGATTAACAACTGAAGAGAGAGAAAGAGCCATTGGGATGGTACAGATGGGGTCCACATACAATGCTGTTGTCAACGCCCTCGGATGCCACCCTATCAAGATTTAGTCAGGGCTTCAGACAGACTGAGGTCACCGTAGACAGACCAAGAAGTAGACGTCCACGCATCACAACGCCAGCTGGAGATAGGTACCTCCGTCATTAAAGGAAGGAGGGTAACGTTTCTTTTGGCGTTTGATAGACAAAAGATCGTGCTGAGGAATATTAAGTTCAACGGATGGCATCGAACGATATCCAAAGTTAGAAAACCTAAAGTCACGCGTGACTTTAAAACGTCACGATAGACTTTTGTAAATGTCAACAGTGTTTTTCAAAACCCGTTTGTATATGTTGTATCCCATGTTATGTCGGTGATTTGTATGATCGAGTATCATCATAGCTTGTTGTTCCTTATATCAATCACTGGATAGTCGAGTCAGCGATTTTAAGTGAGTGAGTTTACTTTTACGCCGCACTCAGCAATATTCCAGCTATTTTGCGGCGGTCTATAAATAATCGAATCTGACCAGACAATCCAGTGATCAACAGCATAAGCATCGGTCTACGCAATTGGGATACGATGACATATGTATGTATGTATGTATGTATGTATGTGTGTGTGTGTGTGTGTGTGTGTGTTGTGTTGTGTTGTGTTGTGTTGTGTTGTGTGTCTGTCTGTCTGTATTCATTCATTTATGCACGTATGAATGTTCGTATGTGTGTTTGTCTTGTGTGTGTATGGGTGTCTGTGTGCATGTGTGTCTGTGTGTATGTGTGTCGGTGTAGATATGTGTCTGTGTGTATGTGTCTTTACGTGTCCCAATTTATGTGTGTACCTGTGAGTATGTGTGGCTACTTCTGTTCTTTATGTTGTTGTCCCGATTTATGTGCATGTGTGTGTGCGTGCGTGCGTGCGCGTATGCGTATGTGTGCGACTGCACGTACTTGTCACGTACTGACGCTGGTCCTCTAGTGCCAGTCCTCCGAGATACACTGACCCAGTTTCACATGGATACCCCTTCCCGCTCGTCAGGCAAACACAATGCACCGTGGTTGGGAATTGTAAAACTACAACTTACGAACTATTTTGGTCACTTTGGTTTGTGTACCTACCGCTGTCATAGTACTGCTGTGTGGAGTCTTACTTACTGTTTTCTGTAAACCGTGTGATTGCTCTGTGCTACCGGTTCTGTTCTGATTACCTTAACTGCTCCCACTGATGTTCGGTGTTCCATTAATGTAATTTTCATAACTATTTCCCCTTACACGCAGTGGAGTCTGTTTGGTAGATAACCAATAGAAGTGTTGTATTTATATTTCCATGTATTATAACGACTTTTGGTAGAATCTAGATTAAGTGCTGTCCCATGTCCTTCAAAGGATTAGCGATGAGGAGGCGCTGTTATCTTATTCACTCACTTAACGGGGTCACACGGGACATTGTCCTCAAATGATTTCAGCCTCCATGTTATAGGTAGAATAACTGACTGACTGACTGACTGACTGAGTTTGGTTTTACGCCGCTTTTAGCAATATTCCAGCAACATCACGGCGGGGGACACCAGAAATGGGCTTCAAGGAAGAATAACTGCAGTGTAACAAAGAAAACTATGAAATCAACATTTTATGACCCCTTTCGTTATACTTCGTGTTGAAGTGTGAATATAATATGTTATACGTATTTGTTACAACGTAACTAATTGTTTTGGTATTCATATATGAGGCTGAGTTCCAGACTCGATGTTATAATTAGAAAAACTGCAGCTTTAACTATCGAAAATCAACGTTTTATGATCGCCGTCGTTATTCTTCTAATTTTAAACAAATTATGTTATATATATAAAATTATATAAAATAATTTCAAAAAGGTAACATTATTGTTTTGGTAATCATGTATGAGGTTGAATGCCAGACTCAATGTTATAGTGAGAAAAACTGCAGCTTTAACTACCGAAAATCAACGTTTTATGATCGCCTTCGTTAATAATATACTTTGTGTTAAAGTTTAAAGAAATTATGTTAGATATATGAACTTATGTTAAATAATTGTAATTATGTAACATTACAGTTTTGGCAATCGTGCATGAGGTTGAAATTTCATTCTGTCCTGTTTTGGAGTTATAAGCCTGTTATACCGCGCCAGGGATCGTGGTATCATTCCTTAATCAGATGTCGGTGGAGTTCTGGTGCCTTATTTCACACCCACCACAGGAAGTGTATCGAGCTAGGGAGCAGTCAACAATGCATATGTCGTCAGCAGCCATACACTGGGATTTCTTTCGTCAGACGGACTTGGGGAAGAATCGGGTCAGAATTGACCTTGTCTCCCACCGTTTGACTCTGGTTAATATTGATCTTCATGTCACCACCTGTGATCGGGGGCGTAGCTACCATTATAAAAAAAAAGGTCTTACACATGATTGTTGCTAGAAAGGCTGGGCAGCCCGCAATACTATCTAAATATAAAGCTTTGCAACCTGTCGGACTAACACGAAAACATTGGCTTGCTACGCGGATGGACTGGTCAAGGTCAGCACTGATCTTCTGTTCCCCGCGTTTGTCAACTTCAGATGCATGCTAGATTTGATCTTCAGCATCTCGTGTTGGCCACCCCCTGTGAACAGTAAGGGTTTGAATCGATCTCCAACACCCCAAAGTTGTCAACCCCCGTGAAGATTAGGATTATAATTGATCTTCAGCACCTCAATCTTGACAACACCCTCGAACATTAGGATATGCATTGATCTTCAGCACCCAACACTTGACAACCCACAAACATTAGGTTTAGTATTGATCTTCAGCACCCAACACTTGGCAACCCACAAACATTAGGTTTAGTATTAATCTTCAGCACCTAACGCTTGACAACCATCAAACATTAGGTTTAGTACTGATCTTCAGCACCCAACACTTGACAACCATCAAACATTAGGTTTAGTATTGATCTTCAGCACCCAACACTTGACAACCCACAAACGTTAGGTTTAGTACTGATCTTCAGCACCCAACACTTGGCAACCCACAAACATTAGGTTTAGTATTAATCTTCAGCACCTAACGCTTGGCAACCATCAAACATTAGGTTTAGTACTGATCTTCAGCACCCAACACTTGGCAACCCACAAACATTAGGTTTAGTATTAATCTTCAGCACCTAACGGCTTGACAACCATCAAACATTAGGGTTTAGTACTGATCTTCAGCGCAACACTTGGCAACCCACAAACATTAGGTTTAGTATTGATCTTCAGCACCCAAGGTTTAGCTTGACAACCCACAAACATTAGGTTTAGTACTGATCTTCAGCACCCAACACTTGACAACCATCAAACATTAGGTTTAGTATTGATCTTCAGCACCCAACGCCTTGACAACCCACAAACATTAGGTTTAGTATTGATCTTCAGCACCCAACACTTGACAACCCACAAACATTAGGG